AGAAAAGGACGCGAGGTTCTTGGAATCTTACTTCGCTTTCAAAGTACTCTTATTTTTTCTTCTAAATTATGCAAACAGGCTATTTTTGTGACCATAACAGCTTAGTTTTGATCAATATTTTAGTCATCTGCTGCCTTTTGTTGGAAAACTTATCTGTCAGTCTTTAATTAAACAAAGCTGGTATGGACAATGGGACGCGAGGATTCTTGGAAAAAGCAGGACGCGAGAATTCTTTTAGAAAGAACAAACATCTTACGACAAATTATCGAATAAAGATTCGCTGACAAAATTGTTTCGGAAAGAGCCTAAAACTGTCCACACTCCGTTAAAAAGTATTTCTTCTTGATGACGAGCGAAAATAGATCTTTCTATCGATATCGATAATAATATATTACTCCGGACTATTTTCACCTGCAAAATCTGCTCAAACTTCTCCAAACGTGGATCGCGTATCGAACTATAATATAGCTGCTATTTTAACCGGTGTTGTTTAATTCGTAACGGCGACAACTAGTGAAGACCTGAACAAATGTAAACCAGATTTTTTCGACGTATCGAAAGATACTAAAGAATACATGACAGGCGGCATATGCTTGTGAGACTCTCGTGACGCGTTGCATAGCATATCTGTACAGAATTTCTTTGCCTGTGATGTAATGTTAGATGTTTATCGGCAAATCAGTTGCTCAAATAAATTTATTCAACAAACTTACCTTGAAAGATAATGCAAATTCTCGTTTATTCTTGTATTTGCGGGTTTCAGTCTCAAAGTCTTTCGTGAAGATGTCTGACAACCAAACCGTATCTCAGAAGGTCTCGAAGAGGGCAGTGTGAGTTACCTTAGCAATGCGGAGCATTATAGCGCGTAACACGAGAAACTGGTGCATAGGCTCCGCAGTTAACACGGTCAGCAGTTGACAAAACACTTCGAAGGCACGAACGGGGAAGAGGTCTGAGGAGCGTAACTGTTGTAATTGCATTTGACGCTTACACGATAATTACATTGCAATCTTCTATTTTGTTTCTTTTTGTGATTTGGCATTTTGTGACTCAATAAACAGTTTTCTGACAAGTTTTGGAGAAAGTTAATAGCACTATGGTCATTGTGGGGATGGATACAAAAAGACGATTTTATCATCAAAGTCTGTAAGGAAAAGTAATTTTCCATTCCATCTTGCCTCAACAATTTTAATACATTGGAACAGTTAATGATTTTTGTTTTTTCGTATCGGCCACAGTTTTTATATGAGTTGTCGTAGGGCAAAGAATAACAGTAAACATTCCGGAAAAGGGCTGAGAGAAAATGAAAACTGTAGACGCTCTCATGAGCGCTACTTGCAGTCACGTTCTTGTTCTTATGTCTTGATTATATCACGTTATACGCATTCAATGTCTCACATGTGCCATGAGTGTAAATCATGATAAAATAAAATCAGCCGGGAGACCTAAAAAATTCATACGCTGAGTTTTAGTTTAAGGTCATCCCAAACCAAAGGTATGAAATTCTTGTGGTCAAAAATCATGTTAAGAACTGTTAGGGCTGCCAGAGTACAACGAACTTTAATACATGTCTCTGTTATCTCATGCTGTATTTATTGTCTGTTTGTTTGCTTATTTGTTTGGTTTTAGTAATTGTAAAGACTATGAAAGGTGCACTTTAACTCTATTTGGAATATGAGGGAGGGAGGGGGCGGGAAATTATACAAAATAATACGAAATAGTAGTAACTCATCAAGCCGAAAAAATTTGGTTGTACGACCATACGACCGTACAAGGTGCTACTTTAAGCATGCGCGGCCAACTGTACCACGGGCACCATCTTGGCCATTACGTAATGGAAGGGCGAGGGAGAAGGTAATGACGCGATTGAAGCGAGTCCAGAAAATCGCGCAAGAAAGTTAGAAAGGACGCCAAAATAGGCAGAATACGGCGAAAGGAACGCGAAAGAGAACAATAAAGGGCATAAGTAAAAAGGCGAGTATCTAGCGAAGAGCAACGCGAGAAGGAAATACAAAGACGCTTCTGAAAACAGACTGAAAAGAGGTCATCAACAAAGAGAAGCGAACTACAAAGGATCCGCGAAAGAAGAGGAGGTAAGTCGTGTCTTATCTGGGTTTTCTCTGACGCTAAGACCCAGAACAAATTCAAACTTTTTTTTTTACCAATCGTCGTTTGATACTAGCTTCAGTTTGTAATTCAACTGATCACGTTTCGGTTAAACTTGACTCTAGCATTCATCGCCTAAAAACCCTCACGCCGGTTCATCGCTCGAATAATATTTCATAGTGTTCGTATTCTTCAAGTTATTTCTTGTCCTTTCGTTTAAAAGTTTAATACAGTCGTGGTGTTATGGGAAAAGAAGTTATCTCACGACTTTCGTTTTGCCTAGAAAGTTTTCAAATGAAGGCGAACGGCGAGCACAAGTTTTTACTTTTTTTCTCTTCAGTTAATTATCGCAGAATTTATTCTATTCATTTGAAAAATTCGTGCTTTGCTGAAGATGTGTTGTTTTACCTTAGGAACGAAGTAATGGCCTTTCCCAAAATTGAAATAGATTGAGATTGAGTCAGCGATGTCCATGTTTACGTTAAGTCTGACGCGGTAATTTGATTTTGACAATATTGTCATGTGAGAACCCGTCAAACATCTGAGAATCAAATTGCGGACCGCACTTGTATGGTGCAAACCAAACTGACGGGTTAAATGGAGTTAGTTCTACAGCGGGATGAGTGAATTTAATTGTTTGGCTGTCGTACTTTTGAGCGCTATGTTTTCATGCTTTCTACTCGATTCGTTCGAACCTAGTTAGGAAATGGTTTGTCTCACAAAACATGGAGCCACTTTCTCTTCGCTCAACATCTCGAGGCGTTATGATGAACATGCTTGCGATACGGTATTTTTTTCCTTATCCTGGAAACTGAAGAATTAATCTCTAAAATTGTTAGTCATCACATTTTGCAAGAAGCGTCCGAGCTATAGTTATGCCATATTTTAGTAGTTTTTTAAATTCTATCTCTATGTTTTTGGCATAAATGGCATTCCCTTTTCATCCTTGTAAAGAGATATTACACATTTCTTTAACTAAAATATGAATTATGAAGTCAACTTAATTTCAATGAGTTTGAAACTTCATTCTACTTAAGAACACTTTACTGGAGTATAGTGTTATATCTATTTGCTGTCTTTCTGGTACACATGATTACCATATGTGTCTTAACCCTTTAACTTTCAAAATTTTATGAATAATCCTCCTTACTGTCTGCCATACAATTTATGTAATGTTAGTTTGGAGAATTTGAAATTGGATCAACAAATAATCCCCTTATTGATATTTTTCTTAATTCTCGTTACTTGTCTGCTTTACATCATACTAATAATGTAAGGAGAAATTCTGTCTTGGTCACCAATGGGACTAAACCCTTTAACTCCCAAGATCTCACTAGTAATTCTCCTTACTACCTCCCATACAGTTCTTGTGATGTAAGTTTGGAGGATTTAGTATTGGATCATCTTATTATCCCCCAACTGATATTTTTCTTCATTCTCATAACTTGTCTGCTTGATATTGTTTTGATATTGTAAGGAGAAATGCTATCTTGGTCACTTATGGGAGTTTAAGGGTTAAAATGGGGGATTTCAGATATTGCAATGATTAAAATATTCTTATGCTTTCAAATGTAACAAAAAAAATGTGATGAGAGTCTGATCCTATGAAACACTTGCAATGGAAAAACCTGTTGCTGGTAGCTTACAGGTATGTCTTTAATGCTTAATTTTTCGTGGGAAATGCTTTTCTTTGAAAGTAGGGATACAGGAGTTTTTAAAGCTGATAGAAATAAGCTGTTGCAAGTAATAAAAGGCTAATTGACAATCATACCTTAATACTTGACATGCTTCACTCATACATGTCAGTTGTGTGTACCCACCATTGTAGAGGTGTCTTTAAAAAGGTTTTTTTTTTTACACAAGGCAACCTCCAGGGTGGAAGAGTAAAAGAGCATAGAATGATGTTTACTTGGCATTTGTACTTACTGCAATCATTTATTCAAGCAGTACTTTACCTAATTACATGATGTCTTTAACACCCCGATATCAGAATGCATATTCTCCATACTGTTCTCTTATATTTCCAAACGTGCTGGCAAGAGGAATTTGTTTGACAATCAAGAGGTTCTTCAGTTGATTATCATTTCCTTTATTCTCATGACCTTAATGTGTAACTCAGGGGTGACATTGAAAGGAGAAATTAAATGCTAACCTCTCTCAGGGATTAAAGTGTTATTAACTGTACACATTTTCATGTATATGCTTCTCACATTTGTTGGCAACAATAGCTAAGATTGTTAGGAAAGCAAACAGACAGGTGAACAGAAGACAGTGAAATGAGGGAAATTGTAAACTTTACCATGTGACAGAAAAAACATCACAGAATACTTAAAAGAGGAAATTTGAATTGTGCTAGCTAATTTCATCCATTGCTGTTAATGTTTTTGACCAAATAAAATTTATCCCTTTAACTCCCAGTTCAAATTTGTAATTCTCCTTACTGTCAACTATACAATTCTTATAATGTTCATTCTAAGAATTTAGTATTGGATCAACTAATTATCCCCAAATTTATATTTTTCTGTATTCTCATCACTTATCTGATTGATGTTGTATAGATATTGTTAGGAGAAATTCTGCCTTGGTCACTCATGGGAGTTAAAGGGTTAATCAGTTGTAAGATTTGCCTACAATGTGTCAAATTGTTAGTGTGGACTTTATTCTTCTCAGATGTCAGCTGGTAAAAGATAGATACTTAAAATAGCTGTCCATAAGAAAAAGTACACATCATTAAAAAAATCACACTGAGGTAGTGGCATGATTGATTTGTGATATTTAGAATGACAGAAGCAGGAAAAACACATTGAGCTTTTTCCCATTCACCAGTAAGTTAATCATATTTTGGATTCTACATTCAAACTGGATGAGATTAAATTTATACATATCATACTTCATTATGGTTTGTTTACCTGGAAAGGTATTTGTTATTATAGCTTCACAGATGTTTTGTTGCAATCACAATTAACATTCATAACAAAGTTTTATTTAACATGTAATGTTTCAAGAACTCTTTTCCTTTCTCTTCAATACCATTTACTATTCCTGGAGCACAATTAAAGGTAGCAGGTTATTAAAAAAAATTATTACTTTTAATTCAGGAAATTATTTGAATATGTGAGTAACATTTGATGTTTTCACATGTAACAGGATGATCAAGCTGATGATAGCCTTAAAAAGGATTGAACTCCACTGTAAGAATTATGTGACTAATTTGGAAACTTGAGCACTTGGTAAATACACCTTGGCTTGCAATTCTGATGATTACAGTTTGCTGAGGTAGTTGAAATGTTAGTCCCCATTCAGGAACCTTCCACTTGACCTGTACATTGTAAATACAGTACCACCTAGAGACAAAAATAAATGATTTTCTGTAAGCATGAACATTTGGGAGAAGTTATTGTGGGAAATGACCCTTCTTTTGGTAGGATGCATAGGCTCTGATGATTGTAATGTGTATCTTTTAGTTTTCAAACTTTCAACTTTGTATTTATTGTAGCTGTTTACCATATCTATTCTCTGTACCTTAAGCCCTCAAAAGTTGAAGCAGGCAAGTCAATAACCTGACTTCCTTTGTTTGGAATTATGTGATTATATAATTTTGCTGTGTAAGTTACCATATTGTAACATGTAATATTATTATTTAGATTGCATTAAATACACTAGCTCAAGCTTTCATTAATGCATGGTGTTTCTTATCAATAGTCATACCTAAACTGAACATCAAAATAAGGAATTGGTCATAAGATATGTGAGTTTAAGAGGGTGGGATTCTGGAAAAACAAGGATCCTCCTTTAATCAGGACTGAAATTAATGGGGGCCCTCTTATTTTAATTCGTATTTTCAATTTGACCTGCCTCCTCCCCTGCAATGTTTAGGACACAGATGAAGAGAACATTTTTTGGTATTTTGATGCATGAAAGTTAAATTACCAATAATTGGCATCCACATAATCACAAAGCAAGAATGTAAAGCTTTAGCCTAATAGGTTAAAAATTAAAATAAGAGAGTTTTGCCGACCATGTCTGACTTTTTATCCTGGCTCTGGATATTTATTCAAATAACATAATCACTATCAGTCTCATTCACTCTCACTTTCCACTGAGCTTGTGGAAAGATGATAACATCATTATTTCTTTAAATGAAGAAAGGAAAGCCAGTCCTCTTATCACGGATAGTTCTGTTGGGCATCATCAGTACAAACGTGGTCTAATTTTTACATGAAGGTGATTGTTCCAGGTAGGCTAACCTTCGTTTTACGTCTTGAATGTTTGACTCAATTTTACCTCACCCACCTAAACTGAATATATAGAAACATGAAATTTATTTGTTCTCCTTTTGAGAGGGGCATCAAAATTCCAAAGTCATCACAGGCTTAAACTATAGGTTTACAGGAAATCTGCATGTGTTTTCAATACATGAAACTGGGATTATGACTACTTCAAAAGACTTTACTACATGCCGTATTGGTACAGGCAGGTGTTGTAAAAAAAGTTTGCTAAGCTTTTTCATTAGTACACATTTCTTTTTCTAAGAATTCTATTTATCCAGCCTGTGCTGAATTCTAATTTTTCAACCAAATTTAAAAATTTTTTTTTAATAGTTTTAGATCTCCTAGTATCATTTAATGTTCTTGTAATTAAAACAATTACATCAAATCTTGTAGATGTATGGCACATTATTTTTTCTCTGATCCTCCTAACATTTTACCGTGTGAAGGGACTGGTATTGGTTATAAAAGTACAGTCAAAGTAAAGTTTTTTGCACAACCTATGCATCACGTTTTTGTTATAAAATATTGTATCCTTCTTAAAACTAGTTTATCAGAATAAGAATGAGTTAGTGGGCACAAGCATGGCTTTCAGGATCGGATAGTTTCCAGGTTTGGAAAAAAGTCACTGCCCACTAAAATCCTCAGTTCCTTTGCCCTGACAGCCCAACCTCATCAAAACATTGCCAACAGGAGTGATTAGCAAATTATTGATACAGACAAGAGGGCCTATTCCTACATATATCCTCCTCAATCCTGTTAGCTTACTATGGACATGGCATTTCAAACATGGTGTATATGCCACAAGTTTTCCATTTCCCTGACTAATTATTTTGTAATAGTGTTTATATGTTGAGGAAAATGGTTTGGCTGAAATATAATACAAAGACTTGCCAGTAGATAGTCAGATGAAAACTTTTTACATGTCAATATAATGTATTGTTGCGTTTCATGTTATCATGTTGCAACAACTCCACCTCCCAGTAAATTCAATTATTTGCAAACATAAGGAAATACCATCTAAAACTTTTCAACCTATTTAATATAGCTAATAACAACATCAATTCAACTTCTAAACTTAAGAGAAAACTTGATTGATGTTTGGAATTGATTTCTGTGATGTAAAAATGAAATCCAGGTATCATCACAAGTTTTCTAAAAGACACCCACATTACATGCAGTTACAACAGAGGTTATCGAATGAAATAACAGAAAAAATCTCAAAAAGACGTCGTTTATTTCCAACCAGAGGACAATCATGAAACATGAAACATGAAACGAGTAGCCAAAAGCGAAAAAGTTTTCAAAAATTACACAGGTTCAAACATGAGCTGAAAACTACTTTTTTTTCAATTTTCTACGCTAAACAGAGGAGGTTGAAACGTTGGGGAAAAACGGTGGGGTAAGCAGTCATACCTGGCAACTTCAAGAGAAGATATAAGAGAAGCCCATACGATTCTGGCGTATAGTTTTACTGACTTACCGTGCTCACTGCACGTATACACCTCAGTCCACCGGTAATGTCTTAACGCAAAGCGGTTTACTGTCGTTTCTTTCAATTTTGGCTCATTTTCCCAAACCGAAATTATAATTCACGCTCAATAGGATATAATTTCAACTGATGCTGACAATATGCACTTCATCTGAAGAAAAAAACACTCCCTATCTTCGAAAATCTGGTCACAACATCAAGAACAACGACGAAAGTCGTTAAGTTGTTTGAAGATACCGCTGACTAGCATATGTGTAGTTGTGAGAACATCGTCCCCAGGTCCGGACTTCGTCAATTCTTCCCCATCTCCCCACCCCCCGAAACTAGTCTTTCAATCCATTGAAGAAACTTTTCTACAGCCAGTGCTGAAGACTTTTATTACAGTTTTTATTCAGTATAACGAAGAGCTGGAAAATAAACTAACAAGAGCTCCGCTTTTAGGCTTGGCTAAATCTACATATTACTCAGCAACGTAATCTGCAGGTGGTTGAAACTCGTCCTATCTTGCAACAAAAGAGCGCTTGGACCTCTAACGAGCCTACATGTAACATGCAATCTATCTGACACATTTTTTCTACAGCACATTTGATTTCAGAAAAGTGACATGAACCTTTTAAGTATACAGAGTTCATTTTCGTTAATAGATTATATGTTCATAGTCTAAGTGGTAGTATTTTATAATGGCACAGAGTTTCTCTCTTTTTCATTCTTTTGGTTTCCATGTGATCATTCTTCATGCCTTCTGGTCAAGCCTTTAAAGCGAAAGTGGGTCGAGAAGTTGCGTAAGACTTCTTAAAATACTTCATTAGCCAGCCCAAGAATGTTTGGTACTTTCTACCAAACTTAGCACCGGTCAGCTCACAGATGAGTTGCCCTGTTACATCGCTAAACATATCCTTAACGAGGTCTTTAGAGTGCGTTTCGTCCACCTTGATGGAGGGACCTGACACCTTAGCATCTTGGCCAGGTGATGTTTCAGTCTTATTTTTCTCCAAACAGCGGTGCAATTCTTTGTCAAAGTCGCTCTCTTTCAATTTTCGTTTGATTTCTTTAATCGCATTCCTTTCTTCAATGGATAAATTTCTGAACTGGTCAAGATTGACAACTTTGCCATCTTTCCTTACTTTGCTTTCTTCTTTTCCCTCATCAGAAGAAAATGAAATACGATCGATACTCGCCATTAGGAAAGCAGGTTTTGCGTTCCTATTGATACGTTTGAAAGCCGCGATCCAAAATGCTGTTAACCAGTCTTCTCTATCTGGAAGTCTTGGATCATCCAACTCTCCGGCTGGCGCAAATGGCAGATTAGTCGCTGTTATCTCAGGTACTCCGATAGCAACCAAGTGTTTTTTTATCTTTCTCTTGAAAGCTAAAAAGCGGTCACTGAAAGCGGTTGCGTCAGGTACATCATCCGTCTTCTTGGTTGACGATAGTGGGACTTCGTTGGCAAAGGTTAAAACCACCAGAGCGTGATCCCAAAGTTTCTTCCCCAAGGCTTCTGTAAGCTTCTTTATCGTTTCCAAGTCGTCGGTGCGGAATCGCTTACTGGTCATCTCAGTACAGAACAGAAACAGGTCGAAGTGGATTACTTTCTCCTTGATTTTCCGCAGATATTCTTCATCATTGCCAGTTGCATCTGCAAGTCCTGGAGTGTCGAATACTGTGATAGTCACGCCGTTCTTGACAACCTCGTAAGCAGTTACCTAAGGGACATGAAACAGAACATTAATAAACCATTTAACTCTTGCAGCGATTTGATGTCTTGGTATGTTACCTCAGTTCCACGAGAAAATTGCATGAAAACGTTTTATTCATAGGAAAGCCTTGTCTGGCTAAGAGACCTTGGAAAATGGTTTTTTTCTGGTCCTTCGAGTAACTTTTTACCTAATACCCATAAAAGCATTCGATAATTCTTTCTTGATTTCAAGTATCAAAGATGGGACGCAAAATAACATTCCTTTTGCCATCTACAAGTAATGCACAGTAAGCTGTTGATGAAAGCACCTCATAATAGTTTGACAGGTGATGTAACTGTCGATATCAAAGTAGCTTACGTCATTAGTTTGTGGGTCGATGTCAAAGCCTTCTGCCGCAAGGTTTTCTCCAATGAGCGCATTTGTCAAATAAGACTTGCCAACTCCTGTCTTGCCACTCAGGAGGATATTTACTGTCTGGCCACCGGAACTGACAAACTGTTCGATCTGATACTCCAAGTTTTTTGCACCAAATATAGTCTGGCTAAATTCAGATGCCGACTCATCGGAACTTTTATCTGGGGTCCCTTCCTGTGCCATTCTTGATAACAAAATCTGATATAAAATGATACTTATTAATGTTACACACTTCAAATTCACCTTTGTACTTTGTATTATTCAGAATTGAAGATGTCAGAAGAACTGTCGAAACATGTTTTAAAAAAGTCCCTCAGTTATTCAATGCGGTAGTACGAAAAATTTAGTAAACATTGTCAAAATAATAATACGCCGCTGTTTGTTTTCCTCAGAGGTAAAAAATATCGGGTTCTACCGCATTTCATATCCATCAATGTATAGACATAATTTCTTTTAAAAAAACCATGTATTGAAAATGATGAAGAAATGTCGCCAATGCAAGCAAGATAAAGCCTAACCATTCTTTACAAAAGGTGAAGGAACTTGTGAAGACCGTAAAGCATGAAGCATGCTACATAGGACATATCTTCATATTAGGACTATTACGTGTCTAAGTATACAAAGTTATTCATCACAGATGATAAGTATCTGAAACTTGTTTGTGATGGTAACTTGAAAGTATGGCACTTTTCACCCGTTCACAATGTCTCACTTGTGAGTTCTAAAGAGATTGTGAATATAATTCTCTTGAACGATTCTCTTGAACAATTCTCTTGTCGCGCCACCGGGGTGTTGTGAAGATTTTCAAACATCAATGTTGTATCTTCTCGCAAAGAAGTTGTTATGTGCCTTTATTTGTTCTTCTGCTAAAACAGTGTCTTTGTAAATGTTAAGGATTCCTTGGTCCGCATAGCGGCCTCTGACTCGGAGAGCTTACCACTCCACGGCCTGCCCATTTGGGGCCTGGGTCCATTGACAATCACCACCTTTTTGTGTTTTGCTGCGCTGGTTTTGGTTTATCAACGAGCGCCATCAAACTCTTTTCATTTATCGTACAGTCCAGCCAGTGATAGAAAAACACTTGCTACCGAAAGAATTTGAATGAGTGAGAATGATGGTGATATATATATTTCTTGTTCTGGTTGTAATCCTACGCCTATAGTGCCTGCCTCTTCAAGGCCCAGATCTTTCGGATCTTTGGATTTCTTTGAATCTCCTTTCTTCTTCTTTTCCTCTCTAACTCTTCTGTTGTATTCAGCAAGCTTTCTGCTAGCTGCGACACGCCCTGGGTCTTTATTTGGTTTCGTCTTATTTTATTAGTTGGAGTCACCTGTTGAGCCTCCATGAGGCCTGGCCGAAGGTTAGCCGGTGCTTCTTCAGTCTTTTGTCCAGGTTTTTTATCATCCATTTTATTCACTGATATGCAATTTTAGGTTCTTACTCAAGTTCTCATTCACGTTCTTATCAAGTAATTGAATAAGAGCTTATTCAGTTTCTTCACAAGTATTGTCCTTTTCCTTATCATTGATCAAGGGTACTTCAACGTTTTTGAAAGTGAGAAGAGGGGCACTTGCGATTGCCGTGTACCTTATATACTTAGGAATCAATCCACCGGCAATCATTCTGATAATGGAAGTCGCCATATTTATGGTTGAACGCTTTCAGAAGAATAATCGATGAACCATGAAGGCTGAGACCAAACCTGCTGAAATCAATCCGACCTTTACAATATCATGATTTGTCTCACTGTCGCTCAAGCTTAGCCTTTCATCTAACCTCGGTGGCGTCTTCGCCTGAACTTCAGTTGCAGTCTTGTTAATTTTATTTGAAGGGTGATGGATACGCGGCCGGGCCGAAGGCTGAGAGGTTAGCCTTTTGATCTTTGATGAGCCTCCATTTGTATGCCTTACTCCGACTGGTTTCATCTCCAAATTCATTGATTTTTTGACTCCCAGCTCTATGTCTTTATTTGTTTTCTTCAGGCTTTTATTATACCCAACCGTACTCTGAGTGTTAAGAAGAAGATTTGAGGGCATGAGCCAAGTGTCTGGTGAGACTGCAAGATGAAGCTTGACTTTTGACTCATCAATCGCTCTCCGAAATGTCTGGCTTTCTGATCGCATTCTCAACCAATACCAGGAACTCACTCTGGGCTTCGAATTCCTTAGGGCTTCCTGATTGACCCAAGATTGATGATCTGACATTGACTTTTGAACCAAGAATGCAGTAAACGAATGCCTTAATCGACTGATTCAGTCTCGCCATCCCAGCTTACGTCAAACCTTCTGACTTGTCTGCCATGAAGAAGTTGACCAACCAATTCGCATTATCACTCCTTATGAAAGAAATAAGATTTCCTTTGATGGCTTTTCCACACCCGTCGCTGAACTTGTTATTAACCGGATATGAGATTGAAATGGCCATTGGTCCAGCATTCGTCACATAAATGAAAACAGATCCGAGATCGTGATTATCACCACTTTTGAAGCGGATGTCAGCGCTTGGTGAAATTCCAAATTCTGCGCATATCCGTTTGAACAATGGCGTGTCATAATTGCCCCCGCAGGGTTTTTGGCCCCAGAGGGCCAAAAACCCGAGGAGGCACCTTAGGACTCCCCGCGTAATATAGAGGAAGACTGGAGAAGAGAGAATGTAGGTATTTTCGGTAGATCATAACCAGAAAAAATCTCGATTTGATCGCTTGCACGGCCGCAAGGTATCAACGTTTTTCCCGCAAATGGTCATGGGCGGCCAGCAAAAACGCGCGCGAGTACTATTGGGATCGGCGTCTTTGATACAAGCTTTGTCCTTGTCGAGATTTCGAGTTAAGCGTCCCTGAAAAGCGTCGAGAAGCGTTTCCAAGTCCAACGGTAAGTGTGTATAGCATCTTTCTAACAATTAAAGGTAGTTTTGAGTTTAAAAGGTGATCAAAATCCGTCAAAAGAGAAACAGTTGTGTGAAGTCTCGATCGAAGGCGGCGGAGGGTCCGCAGCTCAGCCAGCTAACGTGAGAACTTAAAGCAAAGAACTTGCAGCATAATTAAAGTATAACCAGATATCAAATACATGAAAAAGTTGAGCTTCTAACTCGTTTGCTTTGATGTTGGATTATTCTCAGAGTTAGAGAGTTTCATTTGTGTTATACAGAAGTTAATACAGAAATAATTTCACCGATGCTCAGAAGACGGTGTAAGTTTAGCATTTTGACCGAAAGACTCGGTTAACTCCGATTTGTCAGCCGCAAATCAAGCTTATTGCACAAAGCCGAAAGACTCGGCAATTTCTGGATTTGTCGGAGGCAAGTCTGCCACCTATAACATTCCAATTTCAAAACTCACCCAAGTCCCTACATTCTGCTTCTTCTTGATCGTGAAGAACAAACAAATCCTAAGTTAAACCACACAGCAAAAAAAAAACATCCCAAGCACTTCCCAAAACTACATTTTGTACACTTGTAGTATTTTGAGATCCAAAATTACTAAAAAACCAAAGTACTGAGCCGCAATTCCGTAACAACATAACAGAAAAATTACACAACTGTAAACAACAAGCCCAACTCAAAAAAAAAAGCAATAGAAAATGGTACTGTAGGGCGGGGGCAGCTCTAGTGAGAACTATAACTAGTTATTATTTATCTGGCTGAAAGCTGGTTCACCTGGAAGAGCTGATTCACTCTGAATTCCACCCATCTCAAAAAGAATCCTTCTGACTGTGAAGTAGAAATGAAACATCAGAAACGACTTGATCTGTTCTGAAACCTTATCGAGAACTTCACGAGTTATTCCACAGCCTGTCGTTGCGCACCATATTGCGAAGTTGAGCCGTTGAGGCCAGTAGCTCATGTTCGGCCCAGCGAGCCATCGCTTTGATTCTGCACCGGAAGAGTGTTGAATTTTCGTCCTTGTAAATATTCCTCTGAATTTTGCCTTAAAGTATTGATTTGGGGTAACAAAGATCTTCATCTCCTCGTTGAAGCGGCCGACAACAGTCTCATTAAATGGAACTGCTGGTACCTCCTTCTTTCCAATTCGGTTTAGAGTGAGTTCAAGGGAAAACCTCCAATTCTAAGTGCCTTCTTCATGTCATCATCCCAATATCTTCTATCTGATCCTACGACAATCGTCTGAACTCCATCTGATCGTTCCAGGCTTTGGTCTTTGCTTTATCTGCAATTTTATTTGCTTCAAAGTCATCTGATCTTAGTCACGCACACATTTTTATTGTGTTTGTAATGAAAATGGTTGTTTCGACCATTATTGCAGATTCAAATGATCACACGGTTCGCTTTAAAGACCTTCTCGGTAAATCAAGCTATATCAGACTTATGTCTTGTTCTCACTATAATTCATGGTATAATTTGAAGAGAAGAGGAAAAGTATCTATCTTCGATAGACAAAACAATGCAAGTGTTAAAATGATTTCTTCAGGCAAATATACTCTTGAGAGCCTTGCAAAAGCCCTTGGGAAAATATTAAGTGAAGAAAAAGGATTTAAAGTCACAATGAATTGCCGAGAACCAGTTTGAAAGGGTAAATTATTCTCCACCGAATCATGTGTTACGAAAAATAGCACCAAGGAATGATAACACTTCCATACGAATTTTCGTCACTGATGAGAATAGCAATATTATCCGTTTCAATGGTATGCCAATGAAGTTTGAATTAGAGATTATTTAAAGATGTAAGAAAATGTCGGATCAAAATATTTTGCGAGGCTCTGTTAGCCAGGGACCGCAAAGCGGTCTAAGCCTTCAGCTAAGCCCTGAAGGACTGGGCCTTCGGCCTAGCGCTCCTCCGATTTATCCAATTATAATACCAGACAAATTCAGGTTGGAGAGGAGCTTGAGAATGACTTAACTCATTATGAACTTGTCCTTAGCAAATTAAAGAATTAGATCCGGTTTTCACACAACATACACTGTGACAGGAGTAACGGCGGCTGTATTGACAATAAGCCGTGTAGCGGTTTCTCTGAGTGGAATTGGGATTATTTCAGGAGTGCCATGGCCGGCCTAACCGGCTTTTAAGGATTTATATCAACATCTAGTGTTGGGAGCAAGACTCTCAAAAAGAAAATTACAAAATATGAAAAAAATTATTTCAATAGCAGAGGCAAAGCACCTGTCAGCGAGCAGGTTGTTTTCAAAGGCGATTGGATCACTCATAAACATAACGAAATAAGATTTGACTTTCGAATAAAATCAAACGGGTTTTCGCTGTTTATATCTAGACATGCAAATTCTTTAAAATAAATATTTAATTACCTGCACATCAGACTACCTTCGTGTTTAATACAAAGTAAAAAAAATATGAAAGAGAAAGCTCTTCCTCACAAATATCACTGATAACCTTAAAGTAAGTTCGATGACTTTAACTTCTTTTTTTTCAGCAAATTTCACAGTTCTTTTCAAATCTCCTTCTCTCCATCACAAATTCTTTGTAAGGTTAAACAGTTTTTCGAAAATAGTTCAGCAGCAGTTCAAATCAACCTTTATTTCGAGGTTAAAAAATTCATGAGTTGCCTAGGAATCAAGTTTGTTTTCAAAATGCGCTAGAACCCCCCTTTGAAATCAAGGTTAAATCAACCTTGATTTTCGAGGTTAAATTCATGAGTTGCCTTGAAATCAGGATTACATTTTTAATTCAGTGCTCAGTAATAACAACATCAACAATCCAAACCCGTTGAAAATATTTAGATAACTTCTCATCCTCATATTCATCTATCACCAAAACATCTTTTACCAATCCCTTAACAATCTCGCAAAAATTTAAGAATGTCCTTATCCAGAGGTGGTGACATTTGTTTTGAGTGCCATACTTTTAAGTTACCATCACAAACAAGTTTCAGATACTTATCATCTGTGATGAATAACTTTGTATACTTAGACACGTAATAGTCCTAATATGAAGATATGTCCTCCGTAGTGGGCTGACGTTTAATTTTTCTTTTCAAGAATACTTTACAATCTTTAAAAGTTCCTTCACCGTTTGTAAAAAATTGTTAAGCTTTATCATACTTGCATTGACGACACTTCTTCATTATTTTTAATAGACACGATTTTTTAAAATAAATTGTCCATATATTGTTGGACACGAAATGCACCACAACCCGCATGTTTTAACTACTTCCTCGGCCAGAAGATCATGCCGCCGACATAGATACTTTTCGGAGAGCATCTGGTATCAATCGGATCACTAAGGGATTTTTTCTCACATGTTCTTCATTCGTGTCACAGCCTTTAAAGGGTTGATTTGTTGAAACCGGTTTTTTGTGACCCTATAAGTACGTAAGTACTTAGTTGTTGAATACCACGAGAAATCAAAATTCGGGTCCCGATACTCTGATCTTCAGGTGTTCTATCTCGCGGTTATTCAGAAAAGGACGCGAGGTTGTTGGAACCTTGCTTCGCTTTCAGAGTACTCTTACTTTTTCTATCAAATTATACAAACATCAGGCTAAAGTTTCTGTGACCCTATAAGCCAAGTACTGTTCAATATTTTGGTAATCTGTGGGCTTTTGTTTTTAACCTTATTTTTGTCAGTCGTTATCAAACAACGCAATTATTGAGAAAAGGACGCGAGGATTCTTGGAAAAAGAAAAAACATCTTAAAACAAGTTATAGAAGAAAGATTCGTTTAAAAGAATGCTTCGGAATTAGCTTAAGACTGTCCAAACCCCGTTAAAAACTATTTCTTCTTGATGACGAACGAAAGTAGTTCGTGCTATCGATATCGATAATAGTATATTACTCCATTTTCGCCTTTAAAATCGGCTCAAACTTCTCCAAACGTCGATCGCGTATCGAACTATAATAAAGCTGCTATTTTAACCAGTGTATTTTAATTCGTAACAGCGACAACTAGTGAAAACCTGAACAAATGTAAACCGAATTTTTTCGACGTACCGAAGATACTAAAGAATACACAACAGACGGCATATGCTTGTGAGACTCTCGTGACTCGTTGCATAGCATATCTTTGCAGAATTTCTTTAGTAACGCTGAATGCCTGTGATGTACTGTTAGATATTAATCGGCAAATCAGCTGCTCTTGTAAATTTCACCAACAAACTTACCTTGAAAGTTAATGCAGTAATTACAATTATTATTATATCTGCAGGTTTCAGTCTCAAAGTCTTTCGTGAAGATGTCTGACAACCACTCCGGTATCTCAGACGGTCTTGAAGAAGGCAGTGTGAGTTACCCTAGCGATGCGGTGCATTATAATACGTAACACGAGAAACTAGTGCTCAGGCTCCACGCTGCATCTTCTATTTTGTTTCTTTTTGTTCTTTGGTATTTTGTGACTCAGTTGACAGTTTCCTAACAAGTTTTGGAGACAAATAATAGTACTATGGTCATTGTAGAGATGGACACAACAATGACGATTCAATCATCATGGTCTGTAAGGAAAAGTAATTTTTCATTCCATCTTGCCTCAACAATTTAAAACATTGGAACAGTTAGTGCTTTTTGTTTTTTCGTATCGGCCACAGTTTTTACATGAGTTGTCGCGGGGCAAAGAATAACAGCAAACATTCCGGGAAAAGGCTGAGAAAAAATGAACACTAAAAATATCAAGAGAGCAAAGAATAACAGCAAACATTCCGGGAAAAGGCTGAGAAAAAATGAACACTACGCTTGCGTACTGTCCTTACGAAACGAAACGAAACGATGTCAAACGAAATCGAAACGAAACGAAATGAAATGTCAGTCGTGTGATCGTATCTGCTTACATTTAATTGTAGACAGTGCCACGGTTGTCTAAAAAAGTTGGATCATTTGCCGCAGAATCTCAAGGTTTTACAGATTTCTTTAAGAGATACTTACGGTGCACCTGCGAAGAAAGAGCGAATTATTTCTCGGTCGAAAGGATAGCTAATGAAAACATGACTAACTTTAATTATTTTGAAAGTATTTTAGTGATCTGTTGCCTTTTGTTGGCAAACTTATCTGCCAGTCTTTAATCAAAGAAAGCTGGTATAGAGAAAGGGAAGCGAGGATTCTTGGAAAAAATCGAGGACGAGAGGATTCTTGGAAAAAGAAGAAACATCTTACAACAAATTATCCAACAAAGATTCCTTCAAAAAAATGTTTCGGAGTTAGCTTAAAACTGTTTAAACCCCGTTAAAAACTATTTCTTGTTAATGACGAGCGAGAGTAGATCTTGGTATCGATATCGATCATAATATATTACTCGACTTTTGCCAGCAAAATCGGCTCCAACTTCTCCAAACGTGGATCGCGTCGCGCACGAAGATAAAGCTGCAGTTTTGACCAGTCGTGTTCAACTCGTAACGGCGACAACTAACGAAGACCTGAACAAATGTAAACCGAATTTTGTCGACGTATCGAAAGATACCACTAATACACGACAGACTGCATGGGAACGCATGGAACGGCATCGAAAGATACTTTTTTATTAAGATAATTTTGGTGAAATGCTCACTGCAGCTACTGCGCGGCTGTTGTTGATCAAACCTCCCTATTTCTGTGTAATAACTTTAATTATGTCTGTATTTTGTATCATAAATATATAAGATTTAAAATTAAAATTAAAAACTAAATAAAAAGACCACGACGGCGACGGAAACGATGACTTGGCCGTGGCAAAACAACTTGAAAGACTTATTTGGGCAGAACAATAGCTCAGCGCCTCCCTTTTAAAACTGTTTTCATTTCTTATCCGGCCTCTGCAAAATAGGGACCTTAAGTAGTCAGGAAGCTACGCCAGGATGTATTTACTGTTTACAAAGCCACACCTTAACTTCAGCACAACATATGTTGGCAGCTTTGAGTTCCAAATGGAAATCAAAATAATTTGTCGTTCCCCTTTTCCGTTCGCAGACCACGCAAATTTTGGTGATTTCACGTTGTTGTTTTGCAGAGCACGCCTAAGAAATGTACAAAGCTTTAAAACGCACGAGCTGAGCAATTGTTCTGCCTATTAGATCTTTTGTTTTGCCACGTTCCCTTTATTGTCGTCGTCGCGGTTTGCTTAAAGTCGCAGATAATAACGTGAATTATCAAAATCTGCGTTTTCCGAGAAAAGAAACGTCGACGGCAAATTATTTAACTTTTCACTTGGAAATCAACGCTGCTCTCATAAGAGATGGTAAGTACATCCAGTCATTCGCGAAATTCCAACTGAAAATATATATTCATTTCTAAATCGACGTCTTCCTTGTCGCTGTAATGTACTGTTAGATGACTATTGGCAAATCAGTTGCAAATCAGTTGCACAAGTTAATCCATTCAACCTACCTTGAAAGGCTAGGCAAATGCTCGGTCTTTCGTGAAGATGGGGTAATTTAGTACTATCCACCGCAAAAAGTTGAAAAACTGACGCCTCGAGAAGAGAGGAATTGTGGGTTGTGTGTGGTTTTATTTGCAGAAAATGGAGCTACGCTATTGGTGGGAATATGGTGAGGAGAAAACAATAATAAATTTGTTGAATAAAAAGCGCTCGTTGATACGGTGGTGATCAAGAGTGTCGATTTGAAAGATAAATTTTTCCTCAAGAGTTTTGCGGCTTTCCAAACCGCCCAGATGTAGGGAAAGGCCGAAAACTGCCATATGCTGCTTCAGGAGCCTAAGTAATGGGCTCCTGGCTGCTTAGAATGATTAGGGAGATTAAAGTGTCTAGCGACTGGTTTGGATACGTCCTTGTCATTTCTTTCTACATTGCGGACGTGTTCTCGGAATTGGTCATCTAGTTTTACCAATGTATAACTTTTTGCCATAAGGGCAAGTTATTCAGATTCTTAAGGTGCAAAAAAGCTTTCAATAAGAACTACTCCGGCGTCAGCTATTCGCTAGTTTTCTCTCTCTTCCTCCATAGTATTAATCTTCCCTTCCAGGGCTATCTCGTTGCCAGTCTATGAAGTAATTAACAATCCAGTCGAGGGCAGCGGCAACATGGGAGCCACTTCCAGAAAGGATCCTTTCGAATACCACCCTGATGGCTCCTCTGGCAAACCTCATCATGACATCTCTCAGGTATTCTCTTACTGAAGGAGGGACGAGGTTGATGCTGGGGAAACTCTACGCTGGGCCTCTCTACCCATGATCAGTGCCTATCGTAGCTAAGCGTAGACGCAGATGTGACTCCGGGATTATTAATATCTCCACCATGAAAACACTTCTGGTAGTGGGACGGCGATCAAAAGCAGTGTCACTATTTTGATCACAACGGCTACGATCACCCTGGACTTGATCGAATCCTTGGATGTAGATATGAGTAACAAACCCAGTTGAACTTCCTCCTACGCAGGTAAACTTAATCTCTCCACCACGGAGGCACTATTCCCCCCCCCAAAAAAAAATCAACAGCTCCGTTGGGATTTGGATCGGTTTTCTTATTATCATGCTTGATTTGCTCGAAATTTGGAGACTCAGGAGATACATTCTCCTCTGATTTTTACATGGGTTTCGTAGATCACCTGGTGAAGAAGTTCTTCTGAATGGAATATGCCTCCTGACTCCCTCGAAGGATGTTGCAGGCTTTAAACGATCCATATTTGGACCAGAAAGCAGGGTTCAAAATAAGAGTCGGCTGACGACTGTATAATGAGGAAATTAAACACAGAAGGATTCGGATAAGGCTTTCTCTTTTCAAAGTTCATACACGCCTGGTAAATACTTTTGTCCGTCTTTTCTCGTAAAAATTCAGGCACGAAAATAAAAAATCTAAAATCCTTTCCTTTTAATGGTGTTACTAATTACACCAGTTAAAGACAAATCACAAATGAAATTTTTCAAAGTTCAATTCATCGGTCCTCTGAATCAAATAGCTTTATTGTACTTAACAACTTTATATGCAGATGCTTGAAACACGTCTTACCTTGAAACAAAAAATCGCTTGGACCTCTAGCGAGCTTACATACAACATGCAATCTATCTGAACCTTTATCCTACAGCACGTTTGATTTCAGAATCGCAGCATGAACCTTTTAAGTATACAGAGTTCATTCTCGTTAATAGATTATACCTTCATAGTCTAACTAGTTGATATTTTTAATGGCACACAGTTTTTCTTTTTCATCCTCTAGGTCACCACCTAATCATTTCTACACGCCTTCTGATCAAGCCTTTAAAGTTAAAATGGGTCAGGAAGTTGGGTAAGACTTCTTAAAGTACTTTGTTAGTCGGTCGAACAATGTTTGGTACTTTCTATCAAAGTTATCACCGGCCAGCTCATCGACTAACTGCACTGGTACATCGCCCAACATCTCCTTAATGAGTTCTTCAGAGTAAGTTTCATCCACATTGATGGAGGGACCTGACACCTTTGCATCTTGGCCAGCTGATGTGGGGCACTCCTCTTCAGGTCCATCAAACGTCTCAGTTTTCTCCAAACAGCGGCTCAATCTTTTGTCAAAGTCGTTCTTTTTCAATTTCGCTCTGAATTCTTTCATTGCATTACTTTCTTCCATGGATACGTTACTGGACTGGCCAAGATTGACAACTTTGCCATCTTTTCTTACTTTGTTTTCTTCGTTTCCCTCACCAAAGGTGGAAGAAAATGAAATACGGTCGACATTTGCCATCAGGAAAGCAGCTTTTGCGTTCCTGTTGATACGTTTGAAAGCTGCGATCCAAAATGCTGTTAACCAGTCTTCTCTATCTGGAAGTCTAGGATCATCCAACTCCCCGGCTGGCGTAAATGGCACATTAGTCACTGTTATCTCAGGTACTCCGATAGCAACCAAATGTTTCTTTATCGCTTTCTTGAAAGCTAAAAAGCGGTCATTGAAAAAGGTTACTTCAGGTACGTTATCCTTCTTCTTGGCTGGCAATAGTGAGACTTCGTTGGCAAAGGTTAAAACCACCAGAGCATGTTCCCAAAGTTTCTCCCCCAAGGTTTCTGTAAGCTTCTTTATCGTCTCCAAGTCGTCGGTGCGGAATCTCCTACTGGTCATCTCAGTGCAGAAGAGAAACAGGTCGAGGTGGGTTACTTTCTCCTTGATTTTCCGCAGATATTCTTCATCATTGCCGGTTGCGTCTGCAAGTCCCGGAGTGTCGAACACAGTGATACTTATGCCGTTTTTGACAACCTCGTAAGCAGTTACCTATGGGAAATAAAACAGGAAATTAATACAACATATAACTCTAACACAGACTCATTATGATATGTCTTGCTATGTTACCTCAGTTACGCGAGAAAAATGCATGAAAACGTTTCATTTATAGGAAAGCCCCGTCTGTCTAAGAGACATTGGAAAGTAGTCTTTTCCTATCCTTCGAGTAACTTTGTACTTAATACCCGACAAAACATTCAATAATTCTTTCTTGATTTCAAGTATCAAAGATACGACTTTCCGGGAGAAAATGGGAACAGATGGAGTTTAGACATGCTGCTTAAAATGACGCGGAATATTATTTATTTTCCCATCTACAAGTAATGCACAGTAACCCGTTAATGAAAGCACCTCATAATAGTTTAAAAGGTGAAGTAATTGTCGATATCAAAGTAGCTTACGTTATCAGTTTGTGGGTCGATGTCATATCCTTCTGCTGCTACGTTTTCTCCAATAAGCGCATTTGTCAAATAAGACTTGCCAACTCCTGTCTTGCCACTCAGGAAGATATTAATTGTCTGGCCACCGGAACTGACAAATTCTTCGATCTGATACTCCAAGTTTTTTGCACCAAATATAATCTGACCAACTTCAGTTGTCGAGGCATCCGCAGAACTTTTCTCTGAGGTCCCTTCCTGTGCCATTCTTGATAACAAACTCTGAAATAAAATCATGTTTATTATTATAAGAGGAAGAAAATAAAACATGTGTAAATTGACCAAACCATTGTGGATAGAAAATTAGTAAGAAATATTTCATAAGCATTGTCAAAATAATAATACGCTATTTGTTTTCCCAGCCAAAAGATTATGTCGCCGACATAAATACTCTTCGGACAACATTTGGCATCAATTGGATCATTAAGTGATTTTGCTCACACGTGTTTCATTCGTGTCGCAGCCTTTAAATAGTTGATTTGTTGAAACAGTTTTGAGTCATCTATGAAGACGTAAGTGCTTAGTTTTTGATTACGACGAGAAATCAAAATTCGGCTGCTGATACTCTGATCTTCAGGTGTTTTATTTCCATGTGGGATCAGTCGCCCGACTACTGGTTACGTGCTACGTGGCGGAAGAGTAGAATGCAAGAAAATTTACATCGCTGAGAAAAATTTTGATAAATCTTAACTATGCTTGCGCTTAATTCTCCTCAGTCGATTTGCTGTGGTATTGTCATAGTAATATATTGATCAGTTCAGGCATTCAAATCTTCAACCTGTATTTCATCCTCTTCCATCTAAAAATATTGATCAAATTCGGCGGTCAATACTCTAAGTGCCTTGTGTTTTTTTCTCTATTTATTTTACATTAAGGGAGCGCTTAGTTTTTCTTTCAAGTACTTTGAGTGCTCTGTGTTTTGTTCTCTATTTAGTTTACTTAAAGGTGCGCTTGGTTCTTCTTTCAAATCATACAAACGGGCTATTTTTGTGATCGTAAGATGTTGCATGTTGGCCAATACTTTGGTTATCCGTTAGCTTACGTTAGCTGTACCCACCCCCCCCCTCCTCCCCAAGGTGAGACGAAAGCGAGGGAAGTCACTCTAATCTATGCAAAATTATGTGACTTGATGATATTTTTTGCGTGCTAGCGAAAAAGGTAATCGAGCTAAACAATAATTCAAGTGAACTTATTTTCCATTATTTCGGGTAAATTTACAATTCAGTGTCCGCGTTTAGTTATCTACTTTGCTTTCAGGATATAGAAAAAGATTTTAGGCGATATTTGGAATAGAGGAAGGAGAGGACGTTGTTCGATTGGCATCGCGCTTACGAAACGAAACGAAACGATGTCAAACGAAATCGAAACGAAACGAAACGAAGTGTCAGTCGTGTGATCGTTTCTGCTTACATTTAATTGTAGACAGTGCCACGGTTGTCTAAAAAAGTTGGATCATTTGCCGCAGAATCTCAAGGTTTTACAGATTTCTCTAACAGATAGTTACGGTGCACATGCGAAGAAAGAGCGAATTATTTCTCAGTCGAAAGGATCGCTACAGGAAACATGACTAACTTTAATTATTTTGACAATATTTTAGTGATCTGTTGCCTTTTGTTGGCAAACTTCTCTGTCAGTCTTTAATCAAACAAAGCTGGTATAAAGAATTGGACGCAAGGATTCTTGGAAAAAGAAGAAACATCTTACATCAAATTATCGAACAAAGATTCGTGGAAAAAAAAACTGTTTCTTCCTGATAACGGGCAAAAGTAGATCTTGCTATTGATATCGATCATAATATATAACTCAAATTTCGCCAGCAAAATCGGCTCGAACTTCTCCAAACGTGGATTGCGTAGCGTACGATAATAGAGCTGCTATTTTAACCAGTATTGTTTAATTCGTAACGGCGACAACTAGGGAAGACCTGAATGAACAAATGTAAACAAAATTTTTGTCAACGTATCGAAAGATACCAAGAATACGCGAAAGACGGCATGTGCTTGTAAGACTTTAGTGACGCGTTTCATGGCATAATCTCTACAGAATTGCATTAACAAAGCTTAGTTTTTCTTTTAAATTATACAAACAGCCTATTTTTGTGACCATATGACGCTAAGTTTTGGTCAATATTTCAGTCATCTGTTGCCTTTTGTTGGCAGTATCTGTCAGTCTTTAATCAGTCAAAGCTGGTATCGAGAATAGGACGCGCTGATCCTTGGAAAAAGGACACGAGGATTTTTGGAAAAATAAGAAACATCTTACAACAAATTATCCAACAAAGATTCCTTCAAAAAAATGTTTCGGAATTAGCTTAAAACTGTCTAAACCCCGTTAAAACCTATTTTTTCTTAATGACGAGCGAGAGTAGATCTTGCTATCGATATCGATCATAATATACACTCGACTTTTGCCAGCAAAATCGGCTCCAACTTCTCCAAACGTGGATCGCATCGTGCACGAAGATAAAGCTGCAATTTTGACCAGTCATGTTTAATTCGTAACGGCGACAACTAGCGAAGACCTGAACAAATGTAAACCGAATTTTGTCGACGTATCGAAAGATACCACGAATACACGACAGACGGCATGGGAAAGCATGGGACGGCATCGAAAGATACTTTTTTTATAAAGATAATTTTGGTGAAAATGCTCACTGCAGCTACTGCGCGGCTGTTGTTGGTCAAACCTCCTTGTTTCTGTGTAGTAACTTTAATTATGTCTGTATTTTGTATCAGAAGCATATAAAATTAAAAACTAAAAAAAAAAACCACGACGGCGACGGAAACGATGACTTGGCCGTGACAAAACAACTTGAAAGACTTCTTTGGGCAGAACAATAGCTCAGCGCTTCCCTTTTAAAACTGTTTTCATTTCTTATCCGGCCTCTGAAAAATAGGGACCTTAGGCAATCAGGAAGCTACGCCACAGAGGACGTCGATTAAAAAGTCAATTTCTATTTTTAGTTAGAATTTCGAAAATGACAAGATGTGTTTACTTTTTACAAAGCCACACCTTTACTTCAGCACAACATAATTATGTTAGCAGCTTTGAGTTCCAAATGGAAATCAAAATAATCTGTCGTTCCCCTTTTCCGTTCGCAGACCATGCAAATTTTGGTGATCTCACGTTGTTGTTGTTTTGCAGAGCAAGCCTAAGAAATGTACAAAGCTTTAAAAAGCACGAGCTGAGCAATCGTTTTGCCTATTAGATCTTTTGTTTTGCTTCGTCCTCGTTGTTCTCGTTGTCGTCGTTTGCTTTCAGTCGCAATTAACAACGTGAAATTATGAAAGTCTGCGTGTTCCGAGAAAAGAAACGTCGACGGCAAATTATTTAACTTTTCCACTTAGAAATCAACGCCGCTCTCATACGTCATGCTAACGTTAACTTGCGTCGACGTTAGAGATGGTAAGCACATCCAGTCATTCGCGAAATTCCAACTGAAAATGTATATTCATTTCTAAATCGGCGTCTTCCTTGTCGCTGTAATGTACTGTTTGATGACTATCGGCAAATCAGTTGCACAAGTTAATCCATTCAACCTACCTTGAAAGGCAAGGCAAATGCTCGGTCTTTCGTGAAGATGGGGTAATTTAGTACTATCCACCGCAAAGAGCTAGAAAAGCTGACGCCTCGAGCTCGTTTAAACCCTTCGTCAGAGCGATTAAAGGAATTGTGGGTTGTGTGTGGTTTTATTTGCAGAAAATGGAGCTACGCTATTGGTAGGAATATGATGAGGAGAAAACAATAATAAATTTGTTGAATGAAAAGCGCTCGTAGACACGGTGGTGCTGTGGTAAATACTCTTGTCAATCTTTTCCCGTAAAATTCAGGCACGGAAACAAAAATTCTATAATCCTTTTCTTTTGGGTGGTGTTTCTAATAACACAAATTAAAGAAAAATCACAAAAGACGTTTTTCAAAGTTTAATTTATCAATCCTCTGTATTAAATAGCTTCATTTTACTCAGAAACTTAATCTGCAGATGCTTGAAACTCGTCTTATCTTGTAACAAAAAAACGCTTGGATCTCTAACAAGCCCACATATAACATGCAATCTACCTGAACTCATCACTCAGCAACTTTATCTGCAGATGCTTGAAACTCGTCTTATCTTGTTACAAAAAAACGCTTGGAGCTATATGCAATCTATCTGAACCTTTTTTCTAAAGAACATTTTATTTCAGGAACGTGACATGAACCTTTAAAATACACAGAGTTCATTTACGTTAACATATTATATGTTCATAGTTTAACTGGTTGATATTTTTAATGACAAATAGTTTGTCTTCTTCACTCTTTTGGTCACCATGTGATCATTTCTTCATGCCTTCTGGTCTAGCTTAAGTGGGTCGGGAAGTTGGGTAAGACTTCGTAAAATACTTCGTTAGCCAGCCGAAGAATGTTTGGTACTTTCTACCAGATTTAGCACCGGTCAGCTCACCGATGAGTTGCCCTGTTACACCACCAAACACATCCTTAATGATTTCTTCAGAGTACGTTTCGTCCACATTGATGGAGGGACCTGACACCTTTGTATCTTGGTCAGGTTCGTCGGACATCTTGGTTTTCTTTAAACAACGGTTCAATTTTTCGTCAAAGTCGCCCTCTTTCAATTTTGCTCTGAATTCTGTGATTGCATTCCTTTCTTCGATGGATAAATTACCGAACTGGTCAAGATTGACAACGTTGCCATCTTTCCTTACTTTGATTTCTTCGTTTCCGTCACTAACGGTGGAAGAAAATGAAATACGATCGACAGTTGCCATTAGGAAAGCAGCTTTTGCGTTCCTGTTGATACGTTTGAAAGCTGCGATCCAAAATGCTGTTAACCAGTCTTCTCTATCTGGAAGTCTTGGATCATCCAACTCTCCGGCTGGCGTATATGGCACATTAGTCGCTGTAATATCAGGTACTCCGATAGCAACCAAATGTTTGTTTATCGCTTTCTTGAAAGCTAAAACACGGTTATTGAAAGCGGTTGCTTCAGGTACGTCATCTGTCTTCTTGGTTGGCGATAGTGGGACTTCGTTGGCAAAGGTTAAAACCACAAGAGCATGTTCCCAAAGTTTCTCCCCCAAGGCTTCTGTAAGCTTCTTTATCGTTTCCAAGTCGTCGGTGCGGAATCGCTTACTGGTCATCTCAGTGCAGAACAGAAACAGGTCGAAGTGAGCTACTTTCTCCTTGATTTTCCGCAGATATTCTTCATCATTGCCGGTTGCGTCTGCAAGTCCCGGAGTGTCGAACACTGTGATATTTATGCCGTTTTTGACAACCTCGTAGGCAGTTACCTAAGGGAAATAAAACAGGAAATTAATACAACATATAACTCTAACAGAGATTTCATTATGATACGTCTTGGAATGCTACCTCAGTCACGCGAGAAAAATGCATGAAAACGTTTTATTTATAGGAAAGCCCTGTCCGTCTAAAAGACATTGGAAAGTAGTCGTTTCCTATCCTTCGAGTAACTTTGTACTTAATACCCTTAGAAACATTCAATAATTCTTTCTTGATTTCAAGTATCAATGATAGGACTTTCCGGAAGAAAATGGAAACAGATGGAGTTTAAACATGCTGCTCAAAATGACGCGAAATATTATCCATTTTCCCATCTACAAGTAATGCACAGTAACCCGTTAATGAAAGCACCTCATAATAGTTGAAGAGGTGAAGCAATTGTCGATATCAAAGTAGCTTACGTTATCAGTTTGTGGGTCGATGTCATATCCTTCTGCTGCAAGGTTTTCTCCAATGAGCGCATTTGTCAAATAAGACTTGCCAACTCCTGTCTTACCACTCAGGAGGATATTAACTGTCTGGCCACCGGAACTGACAAACTGTTCGATCTGATACTCCAAGTTTTTTGCACCAAATATAATCTGACCAACTTCAGTTGCCAAGGCATCGGAACTTTTCTCTGGGGTCCCTTCCTGTGCCATTCTTGATAATAAATGAAACAAAATAATGTTTAGTAATATAAAGAGGCCTACGCAGTATATACTTTTCGGTGAGCATCTGGCATCAATCGGATCATTAAGTGCTTTTCGCTCACACGTGCTTCATTCGTGTCACAGCCTTTAAAGAGTTGATTTGTTGAAACAGTTTTGAGTCATTTATGAGACGTTAGTACTTAGTTTTTGTTTACGACGAGAAAACAAATTTCGACTGCTGATACTCTGATCGTCAGGTGTTTTGTTTCCATGCGGATCACTCGCGACCACTGGTTATGTGCCACGTGACGGAAGAGTAGAATGGAAGAAAATTTTCATAGCCGAGAAAAATTTAGATAAATCTCAACTGTGCTTGCGCTTTCTTCTCCTCATCCGATTTGCTGTGTTATTGACACTTTAATATATCGATCAGTTCTAGCATTCAAACCTTCAACCTGTATTTCATCCTCTTCCATCTAAAAATATTGATCAAATCCGGTGGACAATGCTCTGCGTGCTTTATGTTTTTTTCTGTATTTAGTTTACTTAAAGGGAGGGCTTAGTTTTTCTTTCAAATACTTTGAGTGATCTGTGTTTTGTTCTCTATTTAGTTTACTTTAAGGTGCGCTTGGTTCTTCTTTCAAATTATACAAACGGGCCATTTTTGTGATCGTAAGATTTTAAATGTCAGTCAATATTTTGGTAATCCGTTAGCTTACGTGCAGCCGTAGGGAACGTCACTCCAATCCATGCAAAATTATGTGAGTTGATGATATTTTTTTGCGTGCTAGCGAGAAAGGTAATCGAGGTAAACAGCAATTCAAGCGAATTCATTTTCCATTATTTCAGGTAAATTTGCAATTCAGTGTCCACGTTCAATTATATACTTTGCTTTAAGGTTATAAGAAAATATTTTAGGCGATATTTGGAAAAGAGTAAGGGGAGGACGTTGTTCGATTGGCATCGCGCTTACGAAACGAAACGAAACGAAATGTCAGTCGTGTAATCGTCTCTGCTTACATTTAATTGAAGACAGTGCCACTTTTGTCTTAAAATGTTGGATCATTTGCCGCAGAATGTCAATGTTTTACAGATTTCTCTAACAGATAGTTATGGTGTACATGCGAAGAAAGAGCGAATTATTTCTCAGTCGAAAGGATCGCTGCAGGAAACATGACTAACTTTAATTATTTTGACAGTATTTTAGTGATCTGTTGCCTTTTGTTGGCAAACTTATCTGTCAGTCTTCAATCAAACAAAGCTGGATTCTTGGAAAAATCGAGGACGCGAGGATTCTTGGAAAAAGAAACATCTTACAACAAATTATCCAACAAAGATTCCTTGAAAAAAAAACTATTTCTTCCTGATAAGTAGAACTTGCTATCGATATCGATCATAATATATTACTCAAATTTCGCCAGCAAAATCGGCTCGAACTTCTCCAAACGTGGATCGCGTAGCGTACAATAATAGAGCCGCTATTTTCACCAGTGTTGTTTAATTCGTAACGGCGACAACTAGGGAAGACCTGAACAAATGTAAACCGGATTTTGTCGCCGTATCGAAAGAAACCACGAATACGCGAAAGACGGCGTGTGCTTGTGAGACTCTCTTGACGCGTTGCATAGCATATCTTTACAGAATTTCTTCAACAAAGGTTAGTTTTTCTTTTAAATTATACAAACAGGCTATTTTTGTGACCATATGACGCTAAGTTTTGGTCAATATTTTAGTCATCTGTTGCCTTTTGTTGGCAAACTTATCTGTCAGTCTTTAATCAATCATAGCTGAGAATTCTTGGAAAAAAAGAAGAAACATCTTATAACAAATTATCCAACAAAGATTCCTTGAAAAAAATGTTTCGGAATTAGCTTAGAACTGTCTAAACCCGTTAAAAGCTATTTCTTCTTAATGACGAGTGAGAGTAGATCTTGCTATCGATATCGATCGCAACATATATTATTCGACTTTTGCCAGCAAAATCGGCTCGAACTTCTCCAAACGTGGATCACGTCGCGCACGAAGATAAAGCTGCAATTTTGACCAGTGATGTTTAATTCGTAACGGCGACAACTAGCGAAGACCTGAACAAATGTAAACCGGATTTTTATCGAAAAATACCACGAATACACGACAGACGGCATGGGAAAGCATGGGACGGCATCGAAAGATACTAGGGACCTTCAGCAAACCACGACGACTTGTACTAGTGAATTTAAATGTCTTATCAATAAAAATCCTCACGACAGCAATTGCGCGGCTGTTGTTGGCCAAACCTCCTTGTTTCTGTGTAGTAACTTTAATTATGTCTGTAATTTGTATTTGAAATATGTAAAATAAAAAAGAAAAAATAGAAATTAAAAAAAAAAAAAACGGCGACGGAACGATGACTTGGCCGTGAAAAAACAATAGAACAATCGGCTCAGCGCTTGCCTTTTAAAGCTGTTTTCATTTCTTAGCCGTCCTCTGCAAAACAGGGACCTTAAGCAGTCAGGAAGCTACGCCAGGGAAGATTTCGATTAAAAACTCAATTTCTATCTTTAGTTAGAATTTCGAAAATGGCTGGATGTGTTTACTGTTTACAAAGCTATACCTTAACCCTTTTCCGTAAACAGAACACGCAAATTTTGGTGATTTCACGTTGTTGTTTTGCAGAGCACGGCTAAGAAATGTATAAAGCTTTAAAACGCACAAGCTGAGCAATTGTTCTGCCAAT